GGGCTTGATTTGGAGACCCAAGCATTGGGAAGCTGGTACGAGCTCCAAGGGGGTCTGCCCTGAAGAGTAGCAGGAGTGTGCTATGGGACCATGAGTTGGTGTCAGTTCCAGGACATCAGTCATTTAGGCATTGTCCCACCAGTATGAGAGTTCTTGAATCCACTTTAGAGATGAAGGCAGGGGACCTTCGTGGGTTCATTTGCCCAAAGTCATCTCTGCTGTGTCTTTGGGTGGAGTGGGCTGAGGTTCAGAGGTTGGAGCCTGGAGGGAGGGACCAGGTGGAGGTCCTGGAGGTGAAGATACTCAGATGTTCCTTCCACTCTCCAGACCCCTTTAGGAAACCTGTTACATGGGTGCTGGGTGAGTGTGAAACCTTTCACATTTGTTGGGTGGTGGGTTTGTTATGAAGGAGATTTAGTAAGAGAAAACTTTTATTGGTGTATCATAGCATTGGACAGACCATCTTTCTTAACACCTGGTGTGAGAATGGATGAGGTTAAGAAATGACCACCAGGCCCAGGAGGGTCTCAAGAATGTTTTCTGGGCAGTCACTCTGAGCTAAGCTTCCTGAGGACCCTGGCTGAGCTCCTGAAGTGCTTCTGCCCGCCCCCCCCACTCCCATGCTGGACATTATCACCGAAGAGTTTGCACTGGGCTCTTAACCCCATGCCTTAGAGTGGCACAGCTCCTGGGCCACTGAGCACTTAACTCTGAGCCAGTGATCTGGAAGTTTGGAGTCATAGGGAATAAAGTCTGTGCACCGGTCGGGACACCCCAGGGCCCAGAACTCTGAGTCTGTCATGTGTTCGAGAGCTGGTTTTAATTCTGGTATTTAAAGCCAAGGCACGGAGTATAGCATCAAGCATCAAAGCTGGAAGGGAAGATATTAACCTGGCAGTCAAACTTTTCTAGTAACTCCTGCTGCTTCCCAGCAGACACAACCCCAGAAAACCAGCTGACCTGGGAGTCTGTCACGCTAGCTAATTAATGTGTGATGGCACTCAGCTCGGAATAATTTAGTGACGAGTGAAAAAATAAAATGTGATGCTAAAGCTTGCATTAAGGGTGAAAATTGGGGAGATCGGGTGGAATTATTGGTCTTTCTGGAGCAAATTAAGTTCAAGAGAAGCAGATGGCTTGTTGGTTTGTCTAATTTATTCAATGAACAACTGTGATCAGGTGACCCTACCCCAAGGCATTCCTGGGTTCCCTTCTGGACTCTAGGTACTCTCAGAGTAAAATTTCAACTAGAGTTCTCTGGATACAAAACTCGCCACCTGACATTTTTGCGAATACTACAAATGAAAAGAATGTTTTGGAAATCAGGTGAGAAGCACACTGAATGAGGCTGCTCTCTTCTTGGGACATACATCACTTGGGATATTTGTGGGATCCTCACCATACCAGCTTCTTCCTATTTGCATGTCAGAGATCAGGCATGCACTAGGGTCCACCAGATGGCATTTTTAAGTTATCTGATCATAGGACTGGGAGCTGGACCACCCCACACACCCAGGACTCTTAACTTTTCATCATTCTTACATGATTTTCATTTTCCTTAGCTTGGTGGCTGGGGTACATATAACTGATGTGGGTGAGAAGGCAAATGTCAGTTACACCAGGATCTGGCTGCACCCCAAGTGCAGCCACTTGGATCATCTTCTCAGTGAGCACCTCTCCCTCCCCTCTTCCCTCCCTCCATGTTTGCCAAGGGCCCGAGGGAGCAATCTGAGGATATCCCAGCCCCGTCAGGGACGTGGGCATTTCTCTAAGGCCTCACCTGCCCTCCCTGCTCCTTCAGTAATATTTGGAATCCCAAGCAGTTTAGCTGACCTCTTTCTGTGCAGGAAATGGACCCCACTCCCAACTCAGAAGTCAATTTCCACAACTCCCAGGGGACATCTGGAAAATACAGGGAAAAGTGGGATGCAAGTTGACTGGAGCCACACCTTGGTAGGTTGAATTGCTGTTTTATCTCCAGCTTGGGGCAAATCTAAATCATACAAACTGAGATCCCACCTACCTGCATGTTCCTGACACTAAAGACACGGCACAAAACTGGGAGCCAGAGGACTTGAAAATGTGCTCTTTCTACAGGTATCTCACTATAATCATTTGTGATTTAAAAAAAAAAAATCTAGAAAAAGGAAGCAGAGTTGCCCACAAGCAAGCAGGGAGCAAAGGTTTTCCTCCATCATTCCCATCTTTTAACTTTCATGAGATTGATCACCCCAGAGTTTTCTTAGCCCTGTAACCTGGAGGATCTCTGAGGAGCTGTGGTCACTGGGTTCAAAAGAAGAGGAAGGATACAGGTGCAGTGACAGCTCACCTGCTGGTGACCCTCACTCAGTTTCCAGATGAGGTTGTCTACCATGGGCTCTGCTCAGAGTAGGAAATGGAAGATTCAGCCTCATCAACAGGAACAGGAGGAAAAGACAACCAGTAGCAATAACTCAAACATTCCCATCACCCAGCTTGGCAGCGCAAAGGGGTAACCTACAAAGTTGGGCACAATTCCCTAAGGACTGTCAAATTCAAGCTTTTACAAACTATTTTGTCAATTTGTTCTTCTAAGACAGTGCCTGTGTGCCAGAGAGCTGGGACAAGGCCCAGAGCCTCAAAGTTCAGACATCCTTCTGGGTATGTCCTGTTGAGTGTCACCTGCTGGGCTACAAACATGGACTACCACTCTAGGCCTGGGATGTCCGGGGCAGTATGAAGAATAATTTCTGGAGTATTTTCAGATGAGCATCTGTTATAAATGTTAGGAATGTGTGGACTTTTCTGTTTGCCTGATTTGGCTTCCTAATCAGAAAGCCAAAATGGACAGTCCATTAACAATGGCCTTTATCCTTCTGTCTTTAAGTACATTTACACACTTGCTTGCCTATTACTATTGTTCTTTTAAGTAAGTGATTATGCCTCATCAATGGTAATGAGGCAAAAGACTGATCCAGCTTATATAAAAAATGTAAGTCAAGGTTCTAAATCACTTTGGTAATACTGAAATTGTATGTACTTCCTGGTAACTTGTGATCTTGATTTTCTCACCAAAATTACTGAGTTATCTGTCATCAGACACCAGACTCATTGTTACAGATTTACGTTGCTGTCAATGAGGGATCCTTGCTTTCCTCTCGTGGGCACACAAAACTGCAGCTTTTGACAATGAATCCTGGTAACGCCAATAGACGTGTGCATCTGCTATGTGACACAGCAACTCTGGGTGGAAAGAATACTTCACTTGATCATGATAAAATTATAAAATGTATTTTACTAACTTTCATGGGGAATTCAAATATTTGAAAAGCTAATATTTATATAGTTAAAAAGTTAATATTTTATGTATACCTAATCGTTTTAAAGAAATACATGAAAAGGAGGTTAAAAACAAACAACGTCCTTCATGAACAGAATGTAGGCGAGATTAAATTTTGTCCCAGGTAAGACAGCTAAATTCTGTGGATCTTAATTACTTTTGTCCCGTGGGCACCCCCTCCTTCCCTTAATTTTTTCTAATTCCCCTTCAGGTTGCATTGATTAATTTGCTAGTTCAGTCCCACACTACCCATAAAACTGAACAGAGGCACGAAGGCAAGGTGAGCGGGTTCCATCTTTTGACTGGGCAGACTAAGCTCTTCTCTCATCAGCCATGTCAATGAGTGGAGTGAGGACAGTGGTGGAAGATCACACAGGTCCCATCCCCTATTTTCCCTTTCCAGGTTGTTCAGAAATCATATTTTCTTGACTCTGAAAAAGACAGGGCAGCAATAGCTTACCAGGACACATTTTTTTTTTTTTTTAATTTCAAAATCCTCAGGTCTTGGAAGTCACCCCTCTCTGTCCGCCATGCTTTCTTTGTGTGGTTTTCTCTGACAGCTCTTTTGGGCCTAAGATTCTAAGTGTAAAGATTAACACTTACCCAATGAAAGTCACATCCTTACCGAAAGCCTCCTTAATGTTGGCTTACATAGGAAATGAAAATGGCTGTTATCCCTCCTCTAAAGCATTTCTAGTGCTCAGTCTCCATGAAATGGATTGCTTATGGGAAGATAATGTCTGTTCTATTCCTTTTTAAGTCTGTGAAAAATGTCATCCTGGTTAATAGGGTGATTAAAACTCTTTATGCTCCAGGAGATAAATGTGATTATGTTTGTCATACTCTCCCCAAGACAAAGACAGCAAAGAAGGCAAACTTGAAATTCCATAACACTTCGTCTCTTCCATATCCAAGAACATTCAGAAGTCAATACACAGACGGTACTTCACATAAAGAATAACATTATCCGTTAAACATTTTTCCTTTCCATTAACCAATTTAACAACATGCCTCCGGTATAAAAGGAATAGACAAATGACTAAATCTTCTGATATCTGAGCTCCGACTGTGGAAAAACACCACTTTAGTCATATTGCTTATTTTCTTTTTTGAATTTGCATCTGTTACTTCATTTTTGCTTTAAAATGCAATGGAGCCTGTGCCTGGTACTGATTCTATGGAATCTGTCCCTGTCAACCTTTCCTCAGCAGCTTCGCATGGTCATTCCTATGGGTGTTCCCCTACCATTGTTAAGGACAACAGACGACAAGTACAAGGACAGGGTTTGTGAACACCAGCCATGCCACACACCAAATATTCACTCATTCCTTTGGCACATGTTCCTTCAGGTCTCCTTGGTACCAGTCTCCATGGGACCACTGCATACTCACCATGGCCCCTGACTCCTTCCTAAGGCCTGGGTGCCATCAGCCTAGTGGCAGCCCCTAAAGCAAGTGCCATCACAAGATCGCAAGGCTCTGAAAAGGAGTTCTCACTCATGAAGAGCTTACAAGGTGGGACTCTACAGTTAATGATGATTTCTCGGAGATCCTTTTCACTCCAGGAAGCTAGGAATTCTCATTTCCTCTACCCACTAGGTGTCTTTTAAAAATCAGTGGACATTTTCCATTTGAGGAAATGAAAATCAAGATCCTACCTGAAGAGTTACAGGCATGCCCGTTCTATTCAGGGAGCTGCACTCAAGACACACACCCACTCAGTTTTGTTCCTGCCTTTCCTTCACTGCACTCAAAGTTCAGAAATCTTTTCTTCACAGAGATTTAGTTAAAATGAAAGACATGTGCCATTCCACATGTACTGCTAAATTTCATAATCCTTTCCTTTTGATCTTGGATTTTTAACAGGTTACATATGAATCCCAGACACTGATTACACTTGTTTAATTAACAATATAGCAATATTAACAGGGTAATGTGGTCTAGAGAAAAATGTTACATTATGCATTTGACATTTCATTTAAAAATTTCCCTTAGAACCAAAAAGTTTCATTGTAACAGAAATTTCAAATGTACTTTATTAAACCCGATTGCTGACTAATTAGAACCTAAGCAATTCTGAAGAAACTGCACAACTGATGTTCAACTAGAGGGAATTTCTCTGGACATACTAAACATTTCTTTAAAAAAGTTTTAATTTAAAGTAAAAATAAAGGCATGTGGACATTATTCTCCATCTGCTTTCTGTAAGAGATCGTGGAGGTCAGGAGAGGTTGAGTATGTCTATAAGAATTAGCTTCATTAAGGAAGTGGTACCAAATACTTAGTATTGACAGCCAGTACTCAGGTAACTTTTTGGTTAAACATATTTAAAAGATAGGCACCAATTATGCTGTTTTTACTTTGACAAGTCAAAACTACAAATAATCAGTCACTATTCAGAAACCCAAATTTTCAAAAATTTTATAGCAATGACATCATTATTAGTTTAGCCCAACTGTACCTTTACAAGTCTTACCATAATCAGTTTCTGGACTTTTGTCCAAAGCATAAGAATTTATAGGTCCTCCAAGTGAGGCCATCAGGTCTACAACTGGGCACATGTTTGCTGGCTGTGAATCAAAGACAAGCCACATGCATTTCTTGTTGTACTGGATTTACCTATGAACCTGCCACTTTGCAGACTGGCTAATAGGAATAAGTCTTCCAAATTCTTGTAGTCACTTGCTGACAAGAGACTGTTTGGATACTTTGAGGTACTACTGATGTTAGGGCTATGCTTATGATTTTGTCAACTTTTTTTTTCCAGGTACAAAATTTGGTTTATTGTTATAAACAGAAGTATTTCCTCTGGGATTTCCCACCCCTCCCTAACCTGGTGGATCCAGTAATTATTATTTTAAAATAGTCATCTTAACTTTGGGAAGAACATTCCCTCCCCCATCACAGACACAGACATAGACACAGAAAAAGACTGCCTGCTGATGGGGAGGCTGCACCCGTCCATCTGCATCGTTAGCAATCTGCACATATTCCTCAGGAGAAGGCACCCTGTGCTTGCTATGTTGTGGTGTCTCCAAAGCCACCTTTCCTGCAGTAATCGTCTGGAATTCATCCATGCTCATTCATTCAGATTTCAATGCTTCTTCCCACTCAGCAGCTGGTTCAGAGCTCTTGGGAATTGTTGGAAATATTGATTGCATTTTATTTCGAAAGTCTTTCATCTAGAAGAAAAAAATTAGTCATCAAACGTCAAAAGAAGGGAGAAATAGCCGAGATTATTAGAGGCAGCACCTTTGCTGACTGGAGAACACTTTACTGTTCATGGACACAGAGCAAAAGGGAATACCAATAAAAACTGAGGTCTGTATTCTACCTTGACAGAACAAAGAACACACCTCTTTTCTTCTTTCAAGAATGACTCTATTAACTAAATAACACAAAACTTCACTCTTAGTCTGGAAGGCAACATGCCCTAAATCAACAGCCCTCTGGTATATATATTTGCTGTCAGAAGAGCAGTATGCATCAGTGCCTTTCATATAGAAAGAGGCAGCAGAGAGGTCAAGTGCTGTGGCTCAAACCTATAATCCAAGCTGTACCAGAGGCAGAGATCAGGAGGATAGGGGTTAGAGGTCAGTCTAGGCAAAATGTTCATAAGACCCATCTCAACCAGTGGCTGGACATGGCGGCATATGCCTGCTGTCCCAGCTATGTGGGGAAGCACAAATAGAAGGATCACCATCCAGGCTGGCCCAGGCATAAAGGAAGACCCTATGCCAAATACAACCAACTCATAAAAGGCAGTTGTAGGGCACCCGTGCAGGTGCAAGCCCTGAGTTTAACCTTCCATCACTGCCAAAAAACAAACAAACAAAAAAACCAAAGATGGAGCAGAGGATGGGATTTCTGTCTACCTAAATAAATGATTATATTCAGGTCATTCAAGGTTAGAATTTTAAAGCCAGAAGGAAAGAATAGAGAAGACAGTTAGTAGGGGTTTAATAAAGAATGAACCAATGAATAGCATATAAACTAGAATGTTCTTATGTGCTAGTGTAGAAAAAAATCTATGAAGAAGCTTTTTCAGCAGAAGTTGATTTGGAAGAAGTTGATTTGGAGTCAGAGTCAGGGCGGGGCTGAGAAGTCTTCCTATGCGATGCTGAGTGTTGCAGCTCTCCTGGGGCACCTGGTCCTCTAAGGTGTATACCCGTGTGGGATGGGAACACTGATTTAACAGGAAAGGACAATCTTCACACATACTCCAATTTATCCCCTTTCACCTATATGGTCAGGTTATGACAGTACTACCTCAGCAGCACCCAGTGTTACAAGATGTCCTACCATCTTCTCCTAGGAACACAGATTTCCTTGATTGGGTCTGTGATATCCCCATAGACTCGTCAGCAGGATGTAAGCCATTTCCGAGAATGGTTATTTGAGAGTCAGCTAATATTTTTTTTTATGTTGACACTTATTTCAAATTGAGGCCAAATCTTTACGTTGTTTCCAAATTCAGGAGACTTGTAAATCCTAGGCATGTACTCAGTCTCTGTAACATGCTGTTGCCAGCACAGACTCTGGTCTCAGGCTGGCCTCTGCTCAAATCCCAGCCCCAGCCCGGGGAAAGCTGCTTCCTCTCTCCAGCTATGGTGTCCATGTATGCAGCAAGGAGATAAGTAGCGGCCTACAGAGCAGTGAGGATTAAGTGGGATAAGCACATAAAGCACAGAGCCTAGCACACAGTTGAGTGCCCACACAGTCAGATCACCTACTATAGCATCATCAAACGGGGATGTCATGGTGTGCTTGTTAAAAGCATTACTTCATAGTTATGCACCATGTGCTGTGATTTCTGACACTGGAGATACATGAGGTTATTCATTATATGTAGTCTGTAGGAGGCCTGTGCCAACTCTCAGGACACTCTAGACCCAGATGCCAATCTTGCAGACACGCACATATCTGCAGGATGTGCCTCTCCCCACCCCCTTTTCACAGTTCTAGCTTGTACCATGATGGGCCTTCATCTGTTGAGGTATGTCTTTAGTTGCCACAATCACTGCAATTACTCTTTGCATTTGACAGGGATGGAGGACACAGACATTCAATGTCTAGGATGACCCACAAAAAGAACTGCTTTGTGCCAGACACCAATCACTCCCCCATTGAGGAACATTACATGAACTTTCATAACTGGCAGCATTTGCAGTATGCTGCTTGGTTCTCTTTCTGGTTAAACATCTACTACGATTTAGCCTAATGACACAGCTTTGAAACAGGTGCCAGACTGCCAAGCATGAGCAGCAGCCTTATCATTCTTCCTTCTCTGTAATACAGAAGATGGGCAAGCTGCTAGGGAGCAGCTGGGAAGCACAGTTGAAGCCAGGGGAGGAGAGTAAGGGTGGCAGCTGAACTTCCGCACATTGTGTACTCATTCTCCCTCTCGGCCTAATTTTATTCTTTTATTTCCCAAGTACAACATTACTTATTTCCAGGGTCACTGTGAGCAACTGAACCACTACAAGGAATTATATTTGAAAAACTGCCAATGAGAATATTCAGGCTTTAGACTGGGGTACGGGGATCAAGGAAAATGGTATGAGCCCTATTCCCTAATGTTCAAGCTATGGAAATGTAAACCCAGAACCTAAATTTAAGTTATACACAAGGTCTCAAGCTACTTTAGCCAGTGGAGCTCCAAAGGTGGTTTTCAAGTTTGTACTATTTATATGACACAGATAATAAAGAGAAAACCTTCACATTCTTCTGCCTCTATAAATTTCTAATACATAGTTCAGAAAAGGTATTTACTTGTCCTATCAATGAAAGTCTTACACAGGTCATCTGAAGATTCTCTGGCTTAAAGATGTCCTTGAAAAAGAATTTAGGGATACAGTATACACAAGCAGGTTTGGTTATGAAGTATATGGATGGAATTCCATGATAAGAATTCACAACTGTCATATATTGTCTCTCTGCCCTATATTGCAAAAGTTTGGTGAAGATGGGATATGTTGAGAAGTAGGGTGTCCCTATTCCAATATTAACTCAAAATGGATCAAAGATCTTAATATCAGACCACAAACTCTAAAGCTGATATAGGAAAGAGTAGGAAATACTCTGGAGTTAGTAGGTATAGGTAAGAACTTTCTCAACGAAACCCCAGCAGCACAGCAACTAAGAGATAGCATAGATAAATGGGACTTCATAAAACTAAAAAGCTTCTGTTCGTCAAAAGAAATGGTCTCTAAACTGAAGAGAATACCCACAGAGTGGGAGAAAATATTTGCCAGCTACACATCAGACAAAGGACTGATAACCAGAATATATAGGGAACTTAAAAAACTAAATTCTCCCAAAACTAATGAACCAATAAAGAAATGGGCAAGTGAACTAAAGAACTTTCTCAAAAGAAGAAATTCAAATGGCCAAAAAACACATGAAAAAATGCTTACCATCTCTAGCAATAAAAGAAATGCAAATTAAAATCACACTAAGATTCCACCTCACCCCTGTTAGAATAGCCATCATTAGCAACACCAACAACAACAGGTGTTGGCGAGGATAAGGGGGAAAAAGGAACCCTCTTACACTGTTGGTGGGAATGTAAACTAGTACAACCACTCTGGAAAAAAATTTGGAGACTACTTAAAAAGCTAGACATTGATCTACCATTTGATCCAGCAATACCACTCTTGGGGATATACCCAAAAGACTGTGACACACGTTACTCCAGAGGCACCTGCACACCCATGTTTATTGCGGCACTATTCACAATAGCCAAGTTACAGAAACAGCCAAGATGCCCCACCACTGATGAATGGATTAAGAAAATGTGGTATCTATACACACTGGAATTTTATGCAGCCATGAAGAAGAACGAAATGTTATCATTCGCTGGTAAATGGATGGAATTGGAGAACATAATTCTGAGTGAGGTTAGCCTGGCCCAAAAGACCAAAAATCGTATGTTCTCCCTCAAATGCAGACATTAGGTCAAGGGCAAACACAACAATGGGATTGGACTTTGAGCACATGATAAAAGCGAGAGCACACAAGGGAGGAGTGAGGATAGGTAAGACACCTAAAAAATTAGTTAGCATTTGTTGCCCTTAACGCAGAGAAACTAAAGCAGATACCTTAAAAGCAACTGAGGACAATAGGAAAAGGGGACCAGGAACTAGAGTAAAGGTTAGATCAAAAAGAATTATCCTAGAAGGTAACACACATGCACAGGAAATTAATGTGAGTCAACTCCCTGTATAGCTATCCTTATCTCAACCAGCAAAAACACTTGTTCCTTCCTATTATTGCTTATACTCTCTCTTCAACAAAATTAGAGATAAGGGCAAAATAGTTTCTGCTGGTATTGAGGGGGTAGGGGGGAGAGGGAGAGGGCGGGGTGGATGGTAAGGGAGTGGGTGGGGGCAGGGGGGAGAAATGACCCAAGCCTTGTATGCACATATGAATAATAAAACAATAAAAAAAAAAAGAGAAGTAGGGTGTCTACATAGCAGTTCAGTGTTACTAGCACTTTACAAACTCTGGAGCCTCTTCGCTATAGTTCTCTTTCCTCACTCTTTGACCATCCATGCTATGGAAGGCAGCGCCATCCTTCAAAGCAGGGCTACTATGCATGGCCACAGGCTATTTCCTGCAAACTCCAAGCAGCTCTGCATAGAGACTAAGTACTTACTATGTGCCAGGCATATTTCTCATTCAATCCGCACTGACAAGTGGGGTCAATGTTAGCCTCTATTTAAAGATAAGGTGATGGGAGCTTAGAAAAACTAACAAAGCGCTCAGATAAAACCAGGTCAGACTGCTCACTGTTTACTCTGAAACACCATGTGTTTATCTGTGTACCGCTTGCATGTACACATGGGCGTTGCTGCACATTTACCATGCATATCTTGGTTATTGAAAAACAACATGAAGACGTTTGGTCCAATACATCATACGTTAAAAACTTATTTAAAATATTCAGGTTACGTCTCTAATTTCAGAAAATCCACATCAATTTTAATAAATAGGCAGTTATTGGAACTAAAGGCTGAGTTTTGAAATGTTTTTGTCTTTGGCCAATTTAGATTCTGCTTCCTCACTTATAGGAGCAAGACTCTTACCAGCCTCATTACAGGATCTACTGATGGAAAAGCCTTTGGATAGATTTGTCAATGATTATTTTTGAGAATCTAGTAATTCAGCTTCTTCATAAAATACAACAGACTAAGAACATATACTACTAATACCAAGACCTAAAAAGTACAGTAAGGTTGTACTGATGTGCTGAGTTCCCTAAAAGTGTGAAGGGTGGTAGCTCAGTTGAGCCAAATGGTTTTAAGACACTTTTAGACCTTAATTACAGTTTTGTACTTCATTCAACATTTTGTAACAGCTATAATGTGACCACTATTATTTTCATATCTTGACCTAATTGTCTGGCTTCATAGGCATGAACACACACGTACACACATATCTCTGCGCGCAGCAGCAGGCAGCACGCCCTCTCTCCATTTCATATGTCTTTTAAATGCTCAGCTGATAGGCTATCCCAGGGGAATGAAGGTAGCCTAAAGACAGGTCCACTACAAAAAGCACTTCTGTGTGTACGTAGTTTTATTTTCACATTTTGGAGGTTACAACTTTTAAAAATGGTGTCAGCTAAAATGAATTAGCCATATTCATGTGCTAACAAAAAAGAATCGGAGTTTCTAAAACACAAGGAACACCAACATTCTACTTGTTTTTGGACTAGACAGTAACTACATATTTTTAAAGCAAGTACTGGTACATTCAAAAATACCTTCTTTGATGTAATCACTTAGGAACTGTAAAAAAAGATAAGAACTATCCGGGTTTGGCTGCTAAATAAAATAACTGAAGGACTAAATAATAAGGGAGTCTCTCCACCAACTTTTAGGAATTCGAGTTTATTCAAAACTTTGCCATATACAATCCCATATCTAGTATCTTGTCTTCCATGACTTCAGACAACTTTAAAGCTTGAGCTCCTTCTGAACTGCCCACAGTGTTTCTGCACTCTTTTTCAAACGAATCTCCTCTTCACGGGTCAACTTTATCTTTATAAGGTCTGTTATGCCATTTTCTCCTATGATACAAGGAACACTGAGGAATACTTCTTCATTTATTCCATAGAGACCTTTAATTATGGTGGAAACTGGATGGGCTCTCCTGAGATTCTTCAAAATACTTTCTGCTACATCAGCTACAGATAGGCCAATGGCCCAATTAGTATAACCTTTCATTTTAATAATCTGATAGGCACTAGCAATCACATCTTTGTGGACCTTTTCCCACTGCTCAGGATCTTTATCACTTCCTATAGCCGAGTTCAGATCCTTTAGAGGGACTCCAGCGATGTTCACTCCACTCCACACTGGAACACTTGAATCTCCATGCTCTCCAAGTACCCAGCCATGACAGCTTTCAGAGTGGATACCAAGCTTTTGTCCAATCAGGTAACGGAAACGAGCAGTATCTAGAGTACAGCCACTTCCCATAATACGGTTTTTAGGAAATGCACTCAACTTCCAGGCTACATAAGTTAAGATATCCACTGGATTGGAAACAATCATCACCTTGCAGCAGGGGCTGTATTTAACAATACTGGAAATCATTAATTTAAAGATGGCTACATTTCGCTGGACTAAATTAAGGCGTGATTCTCCTTTTGCCTGGCGAGCACCTGCTGTGACAATCACTAAGTTGGAGTTCTCAGTGACACTGTAATCTTTGCTGCAAATAATATTTGGCATTTTCGCGAAAAGGCTGCCCTGCTGAAGATCCATTGTCTCGCCCTTCAGCAGGTCTTCATTAATATCCACAAAGGCAAGTTCATCAGTCAGGCCTTTTAGTAAGATGCTGACCGCACAGGCCATGCCCACGGATCCAGTTCCTATGACGGAGACCTTGCTGTGATGAACCGGCTCTTCAGAACTTAACTTCTTCAAAAGCTCACACTTCACGGTGGCCATGTTGGACGATGGGGTGGAGAACCACCAAGCACGGCTGGTCCAGATGGGCGCTGCCTGAAGAGGCCACAGAGCCATCCCTGGGCTCCTGAGCTTTACTTGGGCCACGCTCACTCTCTGGCCGGCCCGCAAGGTCCCCGCGGCCCAGCTCATGGCTTCTCATTCAAGACGTGGAGAACAAGCAATATGGTTCAGTCACCAAGAACCACAGCTCTTGCGGTTAGCTGTGGACAGGGTCAGCCGTGGACAGTGTCGATGGGCAGTTTGACACTGCCGTTGCGCAAAGCCCGGAAGGCCCCACCCCCACTACCCATTGCGCCTGAGCTGTGCCAGGCCCCTCCCCTCGCGCCCCCCACGTGGCAGCTGAGGAGGTTTCGTCCCACTCAGGATTGAAGGCCTCAAAGTCTTCTCGGGTTTACTTCCACCAAGGCTTGGTAAAGGGCTTCCCCTCCAGCAAGGGAATCCTGTAGCTGGCTCTTCAATATCTGACATGCTTAACAGACCAATCAGATTTGGAATTATTAGTTTTCTTTTTTTTTTTTGAGATAGTGTCGCCATGTAGCCCAGGCTGGCCTCTAACTCAAGATCCTTCAAGTGCTGGGCTTACAGGCCAGTGCCACCAGCTGGCCTCTAACTCAAGATCCTTCAAGTGCTGGGCTTACAGGCCAGTGCCACCACAACCAGCTTAGTTTTCCGTTCTTAGAATGCATGCCAAGTAAGGATGCTCCTATCAGCTGCAGATGGAATGAGGGTGAATCTTGGCCTCAACAGAAGAGTGTGATCAAGGCATCAGTGCATCCTACCTCCTGGGCATTTTCCTGGTCAGTCTTATGAACTCATTTCCTTTCAGACTTCTGAGGAACTATAGACCTCATGCGATGAAATGTACAGCCTGGTAAACTCAATAAACTAAAAACGCTCAATAAAAACAATGGCGCTTTCCCCCACTTACAATTCTGACCATAGCTTCCTCTTGTTCTAAGGCCGCAGTAGGTGCTCCTGGAACAGGGCTCCTCGGTACATGGAGCGCTTTCATGATCAGCAAGAAAAATTTCAGTTTTAGGATACTGAATAATTTATAGGCAGGTCTTGAAAAGCTGCTCTCATTCCTCCTGCCACTGAAATGCAGTCCAGGAAGAAGGGAACAGATGGCACACAGCCACAAGCTCTCTCTGTAACACACAAACATGTAAAAGCACCGAACACAGTGAATTCTCTCTACCCAGGCAATCAGGTTTATGGTAGACATTTGTTGAATTAAACACTAGAATTTTAAAAATGGTTATCTTCACTGAATGGTGGCACCATTTCAGAGGGATCCTTAAAAGGACCAATAGAATTCTGATAGCTTTTATCTCATTCCTCACTTGAAATGTTTTAATTAATGTATTCTTGTGGTAATGGGGTTTGAATTCCTGGCCTTTGGCAAGTACTCTACCAGTTAAGCCAAGCCTCCAATCCTTTTTGCTTTTAGGTTTAGGGTCTTTTGATTTTTGCCCAGGCCAGTCTTGGACCAGAATCTTCCTGATCTCCACTTGCCATGTAGCTAGGACTGCAGGCACATGCCAACAAACTTGACTTATTTATTGAGACGGAGTCTCGCTAAGTTTGCCCAGGTTAGCCTCAAACCTCTATCCTCCTGATATCCGCCTCCCAAGTATCTGGGATTATAGACATGTATCACTACGCTTGGCCCTTTACTTGAAATGTTTTAACATGGTAACTTTCTACCTTCTCATTATGATTCCTTTGACTGGTCAAGTCATTTTCTGGGATAAGTGTTCTTAAGCATGAAATTCAAGGATATAAAGACTCTTAGCTGGATGGCTTCTTTCTGTAGTAATTTTCTTTGTAGAGTTTGAACAATCTCTATGATAGCTGCCTCTTCAGTCTTTCCCTTTAGCCAAAACTAAGTTTTGAGGAGAAAAGTAGCAAGTCTCCAAAATAAAAATACTCCAAACAAAGCAGCTTATTTATAGTAAGTCTCAAGATAAGGAGGATGAGATGTACATGACCTCTAGAGCAGATATAGGCCTATTCAAAGATGTGGAAAGCCAAATATAGCCAGACAGCTCCCTAGTGGCTTTCTATTAAGATAGAAGTGGCTCATTATTCATTTTGAATTGAAAACCTAACTCAAATTATCTGTTCAAAATGCAGTATAATATTACAGCTGATGGCAGGATTGTATCTTAATATTTTTGGTCATACCACTTAGGAGGGAGGAAGTAAGAAATTAAAGACTACTGGCATGTCTTTGGCCCCAGAATGGCTGCAACTAAGTCACTCTATTCCTTCCACCTGGGCTTTCAATCAACTCCCCTATCCTCCTGCCTCTTATCTAGTAGTCTGCTTCCAATATTCCATCCTCTTACAGATCTTTGCCAATCCTCCAAACAGAGCTGAAATCTTAAAATCCTATGTCACCATTGTACTTTGCACCTGTCTCCATTATAGGATTTATCACACACAAAGGTAAAATACTTACAAATGTGTCACTCTGAAAGAGAGCACCCTCATTTACCAGCGCATTCCTCTGTTCTGTAGGGAGAGTTGGGCACATGAACAGGGATTCAGTAGGTGCTTATGATAGAGACCTGAATTATTAAGGCTAGAGAGATGGCTAAGAGGTGAGCAAGAGAGGGAAGGCAGAGCTAGAGAACTCACCTGGTACTACAATTCTGACAGCAGAGGTGAATAAAGTGGGTAGGGTAGGTATTGCTCATTTAGGGTTTCTTAGCAAAGCTAATGCAGAAATTTCAAATAAAGCTATGGATAAGCTAAAAGATGTCTTAACTATTTTTCATAGCTAAGCTATTTTCAAACCTTCAACCAAATTAAACATACAACAAAATTTACAGTGCTAGAAACACAGTAAGACAAAAATGCAGTGGCAGAGAATATTTTTATCCTTTAAAGTTACTTAAAATATTTTGTTTCTTTGGAAGTCTTGAAAATAACTGGTGCAGAAAACTCTTGGTTTGGAAAAAAGAAGGAGGCAATGAGAGCAGAGTTAATTAACATTATAAGCTGATTTGAAAGAGGCTATAACTCACCCACAAGCAAGGACACCATTACAGAAACACAATTATTTAAAGTTTGTGATCTGAAATCCATAAAATGCAAATTGTATTTTTAAAAAAAAAATTAGTGGGTTGTAATTCTGTTGCTCATAGATACCAAGGTAATCCTCATGTGAGCATCTTTACAATCCCAAAGCCTCATTTTCCTGTCACCACACCAGGAATGCTGGGGAAGAGGGCAGGAACACGAAATTTGCTTTATGAACAGAACAGTGGTACACCATCAATACAAAAAAGAACACTGGAAAAGACTTCCTACTTATGGAATTAAATATTGCAAAATGAACATGTAATGTGGAGAATGAGAAGAGCACATTATTTTTGTTCTTTAAAGGCATCAGCTTACACATATTTTTGATTCAATATAAAAAAACTATATTATCATTAAAAATGAAAGGGAAAGACCTTAATGTGAACAATAAAGAAATTAAAATTCATTACTATGTATTTAAGCATCCTAAAATCCTATCTAAAAATAGAGGTTTATAGATTCTAATTGTGTAAATGCTGTTTTATTAAGTCACACCATTTATCCCGTGATTGGGTTAATTGAAGTCATACTGTAGTCCTCTGAAACAACAGCATTATTGGAAACCCCCCCTCCCCTAAATGACATGAAGAATATGTGTATGAAAGTTACTTTTGATTCAAGGCAGAAACTAAGGTAACTTTGTATACTCAAAACTCCCCAAAGAGATTATCTCCATGTTGTAAAGGTTAAAAATTAATTGCTCAAGTCTCTCACTGGGCAAAGAACAAAGTCAACCGTAGGGAACAGTAGGTGGGTCAGGAGAACATGCTCAGAGTGTGTTAGCAAGGGCAAGGCTCAGGGGCTAGGAAGAGTATGATCCGCCAGCTGGCTAGAACATGTGACAGGAGAAATGCCACCCTCTGACATTCTGGACCAGGCACCTTTGCTGTGTACTGTGACCTCAGTAGATGCCAGCATTATCACCCAATATGACAACCAAAAGTGTCTTCAGACCCTGCTACATATCGTCTGGAGTGGGCCAGGGGGACAATTTTATCTTCAGTTGAGAACCACTAAGTTGAAGAATAAGCAGGGCCACATCACAGAGGGGCTCACAAATGATGAAAGAAACCTGGGACTTTGTCTCTAGAGGAAAAGGAGCCCCTGAAAGGGCAGAAGCAATGTGATCAGATTTCATTCAACAGTTATTTGACAAGTTCCTCCTACATGCAAGGCACTGTCACAAAGGTAAGTGAGATCTCACTCACTCAAACTTTACACTTTTACAAGGACTAATTTCATCTTGCAACAGGCACTGAGAAGCAAACAGCATGATGTCAGAGAGTAGTGAGGGTGGGAATGACAAGGTTACCTTTAGACCGGATGGTTTGGGGAGACTTCTGTGAGGTGAAACAAATTTGACCTAACGGCAACAAAGAACCAGAGCACAGGACCTGGGCAGGAGTTTCCTGGGAAAAGCTAAAATAAAGGCCCTCAGACAGAAATAAGCCTGGTGTGATAAAGAACAGAAGGTTGGCAGGGCTGAAGGGCAGTAGGTGGGGGTGGACAACTATGGCGGGTCAGGAGGAGGTCAGGGAGGTAGGTGGGGCTTCACCATGTAAACCTTCTTCAACAGGAAGCCACTGAAGGATTTTAAATGAAGGGGTGACATGGTTTGACTTACATTTTAAAAATATCTCTGACTGCTATATGGAGAACAAAATTGAGGGTAAGTGAAGGAGGCCAGGAGGCTAGACAGGGAACTGTCAATGCACTAGGCAAAAGAAGAATAGAGGTGGACAGAGATGGGAGAGCCAGGCTGCTCCACAGCAGGGTGACAAGCAGGATCTGCCTGTGAATTAGGAGGAGGGATCAAGCGAAGTGAAGAGAATCTAAGAGGATTTTTGCCTAGACTTTTGATTTGAACTGGAGGTGTGGGGAGGAGATGATGGTGCACTTCCTGGAATGGGGAAGAGTAAGAGAGCAAGTTTGGGGAGTTGGTGAGGACTTCAAGAGTTCTGGTTGGGATGCAAGTTTATGGACACCACCTGTTAAACACAAGTGAAGAGACAGGCAAGTCTGAAGGACCAGAAGCTATT